CAACAATAAATATATCTGTTGACTTATTCGATACATGTGTAATATGGTGGTACAACGGTAAGTATTTTTGACCCAACAAATGGTACAGGTTATTGATGCAAAATCACTATGATTTGGTGGCGAATAAGTTACTAGAGAAGGAGGGCTCCTACGAGAAGATAACATCTTTGCGCCTTTCAATCTTGAGAAGCAAATGTGTATTGGTTCTGAATATTACAATGACCTGTCTATTTTTGACATTGAGATGGATGAAGATATGCAAACGAGGCACGCCAATAAATATGTGAATGTAGTGTGTTTTTTACATGATTTTGATTTTATTTTTTCTAAATTTGCATTTTGCATGGATTTTGTTTTGTTTTGTATGTTTTGGAGATGCATGCTTTTTTATTTTTCAGATGATGATTATTTTGGACACTTTACTGTAAAAATCCTTGAGTAGAATCTTCAAAAGAAATATGACCAGATTTGAAGATTTGGTTGAAGTTTGATATTTATTCGACTTGTCAAAAGTGTTATTTAGCCCTTGTTTGAGCAACATTATTTTCATAAAAATGCATTTTTGAATAGTGTATTGATGGAAAATGTGTGATTAAAATATAAGGAAAAATTTTGAATTTGCATGTAATGTTACTTTATTAAAAAATATGTGATTGAAATGATATCAAATCAATGTTTAAAAATGTATTTTTTCCAAATAATGTGAATGAGATTAATGAATTAAGTGCACATTTGATGCATTTTTAGTCTTGCACACTTAGAAGAACTTAATCTATGTTTGACACCCATTCTTTTTTTTTTGTTGAAAGTGAATTTTGTAATAGTAAAATTTTAGAGAATGTGTTGTTGACAATAAGGAATAAAATTTTGAATTTATGAGCAAAATATTTTATTGCGAGAATCATGAATAGTTGAAATTGAGTTTGTAAAAAAAAAAAAATGAACTTTAAGATAATGAGAATAAAACGGGGGCTTAGTAACATTGACGTAAGTTGATTTTGTTGCAGACTTGTGACAAAAATATATGCCTTTTAGTGTAACACCAGACTACATTAAGAATAATATTTCTAACTTTTAATAAAAAGGGGAAGGAGGGTCTACTATTGATGCAATAGTAAATTATTCCAATTTTACTATGCATGATGTCATTTTTTTATTTTTTATTTTGTTTATATCAAACAAATATTCTTCCACACATCATGTCATTATCATTAAAAAAACATAATAATAATAATTTTAGTAAATATAAACTGTCATGAGAAAAAAAAATCTCTTCGCACATGAGCTTTAAAAAAAATTAAATAAACTCTCCGCACAGTGCGGAGAGATGGCAAACCATGTGCGGAGTTAAAAAAAAAGAAAAAAAATTCTCCACATATTGCGGAGAGATGACAAACCATGTGTGGAAAGTTTGCCAACTCTCCATACAGTGCGAAGTTGATTTTGTTGCAGACTTGTGACAAAAATATATGCCTTTTAGTGTAACACCAGACTACATTAAGAATAATATTTCTAACTTTTAATAAAAAGGGGAAGGAGGGTCTACTATTGATGCAATAGTAAATTAATCCAATTTTACTATGCATGATGTCATTTTTTTATTTTTCATTTTGTTTATATCAAACAAATGTTCTTCCACACATCATGTCACAAAAAAAAAACTCTGCACAGTGACTGTTATGCTTTTTATCGTATTTTTATTAGTTTATGAATTTTAGTTTTTTGGAAAGTTTTTGAAGCAATATCTAGAAATATTTCCATGATATAAGAAAATAAATGCAAATTATTTTTACAATTGTATAACAGTATTGTGTCATCTAAAAAAATATAATTTTATATTTCATACTTGAATAAGAAATATACGGAATTATACAAATTATTTTGCTTGTATTCTTTGATAGTGTTGATATGATTGAGTTGAATGTGAAGATTATATTTCTAAATTTTGTGTAATTCAATATTGGAAAATTGAAGATTAAGCACCATACTCATATGCATTTATATTTTGTGTTTTATATATATTTAATATTTATTTTATGCTTATGTTGAAAAAATAAAAATTTGAATTTTTTTTTGAAATTCGATTTGGTAAGTGAATATACGGTGTTCTGTATTCTCAATATTTGTAAGTGCAAAAATCGATATATAAAAATACAATAAGTTACAAATACGGTAGGCAGAATATACGGTAAGTTGCAAAAACAATAGGCAGCATATATGGTAAGCTGCAAATACGATAATGTGAAAATACGGTAAATTATTTGCAACTATAGTAGGCTACAAATACGATAAGTTACAAATACGGTACGCAGCATATACGGTAAGATGTAAATACTGTAAGGTGCAAATACGGTAAGTTGTTTGCAAATACGGTAGGCAACATATACGGTAAACTACATACACGGTAAGCTACATATATGAATTTATAATTTGTTATAAATGTATAAAATTTATTTAATATTGGATTTCTTAAGTATTAAATGTTGTAATTTAATATTGTTTCATTTTTTATAATTGTATTTTCGAGAATAAAAAAAAAAAAGTGGTTATGAAATTACTAATTTTTAAATGTATTATTTTGTTGAAGATAAAAATGATTTTTTATGTTATTTGTAAAAAAAAAATTATTGTAATTTTATTAGTGTAATAAGAAAATTTATTATGCATTTTTTATTTTTTGCATTTTGTGAAGAATTTTGTTCATGGTGATTGACAAATATTCTCCCACACACGCATCATACCAACAACATTAAAAAATAATAATAATTTTAGTACATATAAACTCCATTAGTTGGTTTGTCATCTCTCCGCACTGGTGGAGAGTTTTTTTTTTATTTACTCCACACTGTGTTAACAGTTTGCCAACTCTCCGCACATGGTTCAACTTTCTCCATACTGTGCAGTGAGGTTTTTCTCTCCGCACATTTTTTTTATTATTACTCCGCACTTGGTTTAACCTTTTTCGCATTGTGCAGAGAGTTTTTTTTTCAATTTTACAATATTGAATTACACAAAATTTAGACATATAATATTTACATTCAATTCAATCATATCAACACTATCAAAGAATACAAGCAAAATAGTTTGTATATTTCATATTCAAGCATAAAATATACAAGCATATTTTTTCTAGATAATGTAATGTTATGCAATTGTAAAAATAATTTGCAATTATTTTCTTATATCAAGGAAATATTTTTAGATATTGTTTCAAAAACTTTTCAAAAAAACTAAAATTAATACACTAATAAAAATACGATAAATATAAAATTCGTGCAACGCACATGATAGCGACTAGTATTAGGAGAAAGGGCTATCATTGCAAATGTGTAAAGCTATCCATGGGCAAGTCAAATTAAATTATCAAGAGAAGAGGGTTGTCTCTGCAATTCTAGGAATGTCACTCCTCTTTATCTTCAAAGTCAATTGATAAATGATTTAGAAACACGAGAGTTTGGAAGTAGAGGGAGACCAAAAAATAAAAAAATAAAATAAAAAATTAAGTCGAATCAAACTGATAATAAGTAAGATATATTTTAAGCCATTACACTTTTTTGAAGGGTGGTTATTTGACACCACAAATTGTACTTGGTGCATAATCTTTTGATTGCATTAAAGGTCTTTAATTATTGCTAATTATTGTTTTCATCTTTTTTATTGCCAACCTTTTATTAATTGGTATACTTTGTTCATAAAGATTCCATCTAAAGACTTTGTAAGGAGAGCATTAAAAGACCAACTTTACCCTCATATTTTTAAATAATTAAGAAACAATAGATACAAAAGTGAGAAATAATATACGTTCTTCATTTTTAATAGATTTTGGAACAAAATATTCAGGGTCTAAATGTCCTAATTAATATCAGGAAAAAAAAATGAGGACATAAATGGGATAATAGACAAAGATCGAGAACTTTTAGGAAAATTTAAAAGTAATGCATCCAATAAAATGTTTGATGATCATATAACTACTCTTTCTAAAAAATGCTTTTAAAAATAGTGACAAGGAAAATATTTTACTCAAATTCAACTTCACGAGTCCTTATCTAATTTTGAGAGATGCATCTTGATTTCGGATTTTAATGAATTTTAAAAATCCATGTAATTCCATGTGTCACAATTACGATTTTGATAAATTTCTTAAAAATCTTGGCATCCCACCATAATTTCAATAATTCGTGAATTTATAGAAATTTCATTAGTTAGAATAAATGATTTTGTAGATTTCGAGGTCATAAATACAAAAACAATCTCTTCAGGAATTTCAGTACGAGATTTTCATAGATTTTAGTTAATTTCAAGCTCATAACTTTTTCTATTTTTTAAAAATTTATTTTCTATTTTTAAACAATGAGTGATTTAGTAAAAATAGCACAAATACATGTTATAAACTCCATTTAAATAAAATAACTGAATTTATATTTATGATATAGCAATATTTTTAAAACTGAGTTTGTAAAATCAAGCATTTCAAGATAGAATTCTTTTTCTCAATCTTTATATAAAATCTACAACAATACAAGTTTGAACACCAAATTCCAAAAATAAAAATAAAAATACATCTTTATGATATATTGGAACATAATGCAAATGAAATAACTTGTTTAATTTCATATAAAAACACATTAATATCTATGAATTTAATATAGTTAATATGTAAAAATTAATTATAATATTTTAAATCCATGAAATCTATAAATATAAAATGTTAAAAATTATATAGAATTCAATTTAAGAAATCAATTCATAAATATAAGAAATCAGAATTTACAGTTGAACTTGACCTTTCTAAGCCCGTTTGGTAGCAATTTTTAGTCCAAAAAATCAATTTTTTGATTGTCATTTCCCTATCTCAGCCATCTGTGGGACCCACTTTTACCTTAGACGATTAAAAAATTAATTTTCATAATCGTTACCGAACTTGTCCTAAAATTTGCCCCGTGCCTTTTATTTTCTCGCAAAAATCCACTCTTTTAATTGCCTCCCCAGTCCCATAATCTCCATTTCTCGAAATGCTGTCAACAACCGCAAAGTACTGGGAAAGAGTGCCGATTGCCTTGTATACATACGCTCCACGATTAAAATAAAAAGTCCTCAAATGAGTAGTTTATTCTTGCGCATGATGTATGCAGAACCAGAAAGCAAGAAAAAGATTCCGTCTTGAAATATTTCACTCTTCATCAAGATTGAATTTTATCACCAACCCATAAAATCATAGTTTGTATTTGTATTTGTCAAAAAGCAAATTGCAGTTTCAGTTTAGGTTGAAGCAAATTAATGGATGATGAAGTGGTGCAGCGGGTATTTCAAGAAGGTGGGCGCGATTTCTACCAACAGCAGCCTTCCACTTCCTCTTCGTCTTCCTCCATTCTCCAATCCCTTCCTCTACATGTGGTATGCTTCTTTGGTTTGCTGAATTTCTTATTTCTTTGTTCAATGGATAAGAATTGTCATAAATTGTCTGATATTAATTGATGGTTATCTGAATTCTGTTTGTCTTTAAAATAGATTGAGCTTATTAGTAAATTTGTATACTACTCGAAAAAAGCCAATATTTCATCTGGTATTTGGAAATTCAGATTTGAAGTTTAGGTACATTTTGGGAAATTAATTCCATTTGTCTAAGCATTATGGGTTTTGGATTTCTCAGTCTTTTGATCATGGATATTACTTGTTGGTGAAATCGATTCAAGAGCTTAGATCAAAGAAAGAGGGTATAGTAACAGTTGGCATTGGAGGTCCGAGTGGGTCAGGTAAATCAAGGTAAGTATCTTTTACATGCGTGTTCAATTTTGTGTAATTCAGTGGGAATTACTGGTGGACGTTTATAGAAGTTTTATTCAGCATTATCTTAAAAAGTGCATTTTAATGGTTCTTGAAGCTTAGCTGAAAAAGTAGCATCTGTAATTGGTTGTATTGTTATCTCAATGGAGAACTATCGCACTGGAGTTGACGATGGGAATGATTTGGAGCTAATTGATTTTGATCTTCTTATCCAGAATCTTGAGGTATTCCATTCTCTTTCATGTTCATTGTAATGAAGCTAAGATTTTTTTCTTCGTTTTGGATTGAAGTATATCAAATCTCTTAGTCTTCGCCCAGAAAGAGACAAGCATATTTGGAGGAATTGTTGAATGTTTTTCTCTGAATCCATGATGCCTATGGACTTGTCAATAGATATTTCAAGTAAACATTGGTTTTGGTATTTGGCTTTATGATGAAATAATTGACTGGCAGAACAATTAAGGAGTTCTGCAATGTTTATGCTGTTTAATCTTGTATATTATGCATTTCAGAACTAAAGTTATTGTTGAAACAGAATTTGATAAGTGGACGAGATACATTGACCCCAGTGTTCGATTTTCAAGGAAGAAAACGTGTTGGTTCACAGGCAATAAAAAGTATTTCGTCTGGGGTGGTAAGAATGCTTGAATTTCCTTTTTGGTTGCACTTCTTAAATTCTTTTAAGTTTCATACCACATTTTGCTTGTAGGTGATAGTTGATGGAACTTTTGCTTTACATGCAAAACTACGGTCTTTGCTAGACATACGAGTTGCAGTGGTAATCTTTTATGTCAATTGTTTTATGTTTTCTAGTACGTTTTTCTTCTCAAAGGAGTATAGATAGGTTTTTTGTTCCATAAATATTGTTTTATCTCTCATCAAATATTTACTTTGATGTGTTGGTGGGACTTTTGTATCATATGTATGGGGAATCAGGTTGGTGGTGTTCACTTTAGTCTACTTTCCAAAGTTCAATATGATATTGGAGAGTCTTGTTCACTAGACCTCCTAATTGACAGCATTTTCCCGCTCTTCAGAAGGCACATTGAGCCAGATCTTCATCATGCGCAGGTATGCTATTGACATCCTGGTTTCACAATTTTTTGTGCTCTACTTTCCTACTTGTAGTTTATTTGCTGTGTCTTTTGTGTAGATCAGAATCAACAACAGTTTTGTTTCATCATTTAGGGAACCAATTTACAAACTCAAATGCAAGAGTGAGGTATGCAAGAATTGGGTTCTATATGCAATAGTGCACGAGGAAAGTTCTAATCCATTATATTATTAGTAATTTGAATAATTTAACATGATATTTAGCTCTTGACATAGCATTCAACCGTTTGAAGAGGGTTTTCCTAGTCTAGCTGAAAGAGTGCAGTTGTACACCTTTAAACATGGTTTCCTCGATCAATGTCTTATTGATCAAAGTGTTGATTAAATGATTTTGTAGCTTTAATTTTTTTTCTTAATTCAATCGCAGACATAACTTTTTCTGGTAGTGCTTGTTTTGGCATCTTTTTCACTGTTTTTGAAGAGGTTTATGAAGATTGAACAATAATGACCAAGTCTAATCTGCACACGTTGACAATTTTATTTTTGTCTATTTGGGGAAATTGTGATTCTTCACAGAAATACTTTTCATTCATATTAATTCTGCCATATTCCTTTTAGCACATTATATCCCATGTCTATATATACACATATGGCACATACATTTGATTATAAAATTTAAGCCATGTTTGGCCCCCATTTTTTGAAAAGGAAATGGGTGGAATAGTATTTTTTTGAAAAATGAGTGGTCGAAAAAGAAAGAATTTTTTTTTTATTTACTTGTAATATTATTTTATGGAAAATTGTGTAGTTAAAAATAAGAGAGAGGAAATTAGAATGTAATTTAATGGAGGCCAAACGGGGGCTCAATAAATATAGACTCTTATACGAAGAATAATCTTTTTGTTTTGAAATCAACGGCTAAACATTCTACATAATATGTACTTCTTGAGGTTGACATTTTATTTCTGCATCTATTATAATATTATCTTTTGTCTAATACTGGTTATTAGGTAAGTGTTCTTGGAATTTGACATAAAAAATAAAAAATTATTTGATTGCTCTAATGTCCTACATTTTTTTCTTTTTCCCCTCTCCGGAATATGAGATGGCATTGATAAGAATTCAAAATCTAGAAAACTTTTGTGGTCAAAATTTTTCTACATGTTAGATGAAAAAGATATATTTCACTTCAGTTAATTGATACCTTCTATTATTTAATTTTCTCAATCTCAGTTTCTTTGTAACAATTATGGGACTGTGTGACATGAACACGAAAAGTTTATGGCCAATCTGATGATTGTGAAATTCTCTCTGAAATTGAATACTATACAAACTATCTACAATTTTTGGCTTATTGAAAAAAATTATATGCATTCCATACCATCATATTTTAGGTTTTTAAAATTCATTCATATTTTAGGTTTTTAAAATTCATAGTTCAGTAGATTTTTTTTCTACTTTACTGTTGGTCATTTCTTCTTGGAGAGCTTACTTTACCAGAAATTTGTTGTTTTTAGCAGTCACAAAGTGGACATGCTGCCTACATTTTTCATGGAAAAGAAGCACAACAGGACAAGTAAGTTTTTCAGTTGATGATTATATGTTTAGGGCAGAAATTGCCATTATGTATATCACTTTCTTTACATTAGTTGAATCTGAGCTTGTCTTAAGTTCAGTTTTATTGAGATGTACCTGAGACCCCCCTCTGCAAGTGAAGAAGCACGAATAAATGATTGGATCAAGGTGCGACAATCTGGTATCAAATACTATCTATCACTAGGTGACCAGAGGATTGTTGACAAAAATTTCATTATTCGGCCAAAAGCTGAATTCGAGGTGAATGTTTCTACTTCAAAATGCACTATACAATACTTGATTGTCCTTGGTGCTTTATTATTCAGATGTTTGCTTGTTTGGAAATCTTTGAAACAAAAACATAGCACTAGATATGATTTTGGCTAGGTACTGGAAGTGTGTTGTTAGTACTTTTTAAACATGTGGTTCCATCTAAACCAAGATAAAAAATGCATATTTGTGCCCCATTGCTAAAACACTTCTGAACTGCTTTGGGCACTTTTTGACGAAAAATCTTTATTATTATTATTTTTTTAATTTTTTATTATTTTATTATTTTATTATTTTTTGGAGTAATAGTTGTGAAATATCCTACATAGAAAATGTGTGTGTTTGTCTCATTTTGAAGAACAACTGGAGTATGTTTCAGGTACTCTTTATCAAAACCCCCAAAATACCCACGAGTTATTCTGTAAGCAGTTCCACCAATAAACTGGTCAAGGCATAAATGTATATGTCAAATCATTATTCCTCACAAATGCACAATCACAACTCAGAAGCTTATGACAGTTCATATCATTTATTTTTGTGCAGATTGATCTTATTTCACAACATTACTAAATTGCGTTGTGCCATTATTTAATTGACGGGACTTGCCTACAAAAAGGGTCCTAATTGACAAGAACTGATCTTTTCAGCTGATATCATGCAAAGTTAATAACATTTACCTTAGAAAAGACCTCAGGTACTAACTTCAGCCAGAGGGTGTCAAATACTTCTAATCAGTCCAAATATCACCATAAAATCTGAAGAGTAAAAATTAGCAACTGAGAGAGCATCTTGTACTACTTAATAATTATCGAAGCAAACCATAAGCTCCTTGGTACAGTAGTTACTTTGTCTCTTAATGTTGAATAATCTGCTAGTTGAAGGAAATTGACCTCAACAACGTGATCAAACATTTTGTTGGTGGTCCAAATGTGTTTGAAAAACATTCAAGAATTGAATCTTCTGAAATTAAAGGCAGGGAATTGTATCTGTAGAGCGAAATTCTTAACTTTCACTGTAATCTTTCCTCTTGTTCTGAAACCTTTGCCCAAAGACTGGATTTTTCCCTGGATATTCTTATCATGTTCGTACTAGTTAATTCGTAGAGCAACGGTGGCTCAATGCAAATATTATTTAGAATTTTGATTATGAAAAGAACAAGCTAGAGGAAATTAAAATGGCAGCCATTTTTTCTCTATTTTGTTAGCTCTCATAATTTAACAAATGAAGTAATAAGTTATATACACTTGTGTTTGTATTATTTGCTCTTTTTCAATTCTCTTTTGAATGCCTTGACAAAGTTTTAAAATTTGTACATTTAACGACTTCGATTGGCATTACATGTATTGAAGAAAGGTTTAGTGAGAAAATACAAATATATATGTTTATTTAAATTAAAAGAAATTTAATCAATAGTCATTTCTTCTCCTTTCATTTATTCCTCGTAAGAAGTTTTATGAGCTATGGTTTTCTAGGTATTTCAATAACTATTAGGGGAATCCAATTCAGATGTTTTATCACCTAGAGTTTAATCACAGCTTTTTTAATATTAATAATCTAAAGATAGTTTTACTTGCCACTGAATTTTGCTACTATTTTCTTTTCATTCTTTCATCTGATGTGCAACATATGTTTTATTTTATGCTATGAAATTCAACCAGACAATCATTTGAACAAATTGAATGCTTAATTAATATATTTCTTTCAGTTTTTTACTGTAATAATTTGGTTATATACCTTCCCGTTGAAGCATTTATGTATAACAGTGATTACTTCTTATTTTCTGGCTGCTCTAGTAAAGCAGAAAAGGATTCATGTATCTGACCCCAAATTTATTGGGATCAAGACTAGATTGTTGTTGTATTGATTACTTATTATAATATTTTTATACTTTTACCTACTCAAATAATTCTGTTGTCGTTAGATGAGTCCTAATATTCAAGTCTCAGTAACATCTGTTTTCACTCCTTCTAAGCTATTATTGAACGTTTATGAACTTGCTGTATGTGAATAGGTCCTCCAGCTCTTTAATAGTACTCTTTTCACTAGAAATTGTGTATAACGATTCCTGGAAATATTTTCCTGCAACTTTTTTAATGCAAAACATAACTTGCTTTAGTGATCCATTTTACTATTGTAATAGGTTGGCCGGATGACTCTGGGTGGATTGCTAGCCTTGGGATATAATGTGGTTGTTAGTTATAAGCGGGCATCAACTTCTGTCATTGACGGAAATCTTTCAGTATCTCTGGAAACAATTGATACTCTTGGAGAGACTTACATGGTGCTCAGGGGCACAAATAGAAAAGTATGTACACTAATCTTCTCCTAAGACTCTTAAAGCCTTCCCAGAATTCCATTACCAGTGAACTGGAACCTTTCTCCTTCGTCTTGTTATTAGTATTATCATCATGATTCATAATGTTTTCAGTAAGAATAAATGCTATGTGTACGCCTCAAGGTGTACACATATTTTATTGTGTGTGGGGCCCCCTCCATGTGAGGGGAGTGAAAGGCGGTGTGTAAACAGTTATGTAAATGTAGCATTGCCCTTTCAGTAATGCTTTGTAATATGCCTGCAAGACTGCAACCACTTTGGCAGAAGTACTCTAAAGCAACACACTATGTGCTAATATTTTGCAGAGTGTAGTACTAGTATATTTCCTTAATAACAGATTCCAATTTTTTATTTTTCTCTCGAAAGCAATAACTTTAGAAAATAGATTTAGCTAGGTTCTAACCTATCGCACCGGATGTTCTTCCTACACCTGATGATACATAGTATATACCATGTGAATGTTGGCCTCAAGTTTTATTATGTTGTAATTTTGTCAATTGAGCCTAAAATATTTGTAATCCGAGTGAGTACATTAGTATGTCTGGTTTTATTGAACCATGTGCCCATTGTTTGGCCTGAGTTACTGTCCCTATGGTGATGTTCTACTGCCACCTCGTGTATCTTTTTTACCTACAAATATAATCTTATATTGGTTTCATGTGGAAATCTATTCATTTCTGAAGGGGCCAGTGAGAGTCGTTTGTTAATCAGAGTAGTTATGCACTTGAACTTACGATTGACACAGTTGAACTCCTTTTCAGATCGTTGGAACTGAATCATCAAGGCTTGGTGTCAATGGTCCATGGATAACAAAATCATATCTAGAAATGATCCTTGAGAGAAAAGGTTTGGACATGGATTTTCCTTTTACATTGTTTCTGCTTCTTCCTTGTTTCTATGCCACTATTAATTTACCATTAAAAAGCTGGGTCAGTGTTTGAACCATGATGGTTTAAACTTATAGTCCACTACATCAAACACTTAACTCATCATTATTTCTTGAATTTGAATCTAATGATTATGAGGATCTTGGAAAGGTCTAGGAGCAGTTTTTGAATCTGATTGAAACTAATTCGTGTTCCACCTCATACTGCATATGTGTTTGTATGTGCGCTAGAGCGAGAGAGTTAACCTGAGAGGTATAATCATGATTCCTTAATAGATAGCCAGAACACCTGGCGAGATGATGGTAGTACCTGCTAGTGGTCCATATGCAAAGCTTCAATTTAGTTCGTGTGTGTGTTTTAATCTCTTCACACAAATTATCAAAATCTCTTTCTAATCTATTTATCCAAGTTGCAGGGGTACCACGGCTTAATACACCTCCTCCTTTGTCTAGTGCATCTTTGCCCAGTAGTCAAGAAAGGATGATAGCAGCTCCAAAGCCACTTCGTATAACTCCCAACCTGGTCAACCGGCTTGAGGATTTATCACAGCCATGGACTCGGTCACCAACCAAGTCTAAACTGGAACCTGTCCTGGCGACGTGGCATTTTATCTCTCCAGACCCTCTCCTAACTGATGGAACTGGCTCTGGTATGTTCTGTTTACCAGTAGTGAGCGAGAATTTTTTTCCCCAACAAAATTTAAATGCAAGTGAACTAAAAAAATGTGGTTAAAATGTATGTTCTGCTGTTTTCCATGTATCAATTTTGTTCATGAAACGACCACAGATCCTCCTTCCAGGGATGCCCTGCAGCTTGCTCCGATGCCTGATTCTTATGACTTGGATAGAGGGTTGCTTCTTGCTGTACAGGCAATACAGGTAAGTGTTCTATTTTAATGGCAAGGATCATGTCCTTGCTCTTTGTGTCCGTGAAGTTTGATTCTAAGTCTCTTCTGAACTTTTTTATGAGACCAAAACTTGGATGTCCTACTTTGTTCATTGCAGGCTTTGCTGGAGAATAAGGGTCACCCGGTAATAGTTGGAATTGGTAAGACAGTCTCTCTCTCTCTCACACACCCCTCTTGGGAACAACTAAACTACATGAAACTAGTATTGCCTGCATATAATAATTCAATGCAAATGAAGTGAGTTGTATGGAAGTGTGATTCTATGGCAGACTTGTAAGTTGTAAATTAAGGCGCTATTTCAGCCCCATTATTTCCTCATTACAATGAAAAATATGACCGTTATCCATCACATCAAGCCACCATATTTGACTTTTTATCTCTTGTGTGAGGTTCATAACGGCTATATTTTTCATTCTCATTTTTACAATAATGTGGCTCAAACGGGGGCTAAGTAAAGTTCCCATAAGAAAGTTCTAATCCAGAATGTATAATGGCTAAGTAACATTTATATCTTGGTCTTCGGATTTTGTGAAAACCAATTTGTTCCATTACAAGTCACCATAAATAAAGTTTAATATTTAAATATAGGTATGTCCATAGACACAATTATTTAGTGTTCTTATCGAGTGGTAATTATTCTATCTCGTAATTAATATGCCTGATGATATTGGTGTTCCAGTCAAAGGTACCTATATATCTATATATATTTTAGATAGGTTCTTTTCTTACGTATGCCTCTAATAATATGTTTTTGATTGAGATAATTTCCAACCAAATGGTTATCCAAGTTCAAACCATTTAAGAACGATTAAGATTCTTTCAGATTGCATTTTTTAGGTCTCAGTTGGTGCCTGGTGTAAGCAACATGTAATGGAATGGTGTAACATTAGGTGGGCAAGTTTTATAAAAGTACAAGCAAAGAACTAGTGATATTTTTTTCCCCAAAGTGTCAAATTTTGGCATGGAGGGTGATTTTGACTTTTTGATGATGATTATTATGGGATTAAACAAAAAATCTCTAAAATAGGTTTATTTATATTTCAACGGGGTATACATAAGCTTGTTTTGTTATCCATATGATCATAGCAACTTTTTTCGTGTGGTTCTCCTTCTCAAGAACTCTTAATTTAAAGCTGAAGCTAAAAAAAATAAATAAGAATGTCGTTTTCATCATCTTTCAATTGCCTCATTTGAGAGTAGGATTCTAATTATTTTATATGGTAATAAAAAAGAACATATTATACAATTCTTATGCCCCAAGTCACAGAATTTAGGGTATATTACTATCGTAACTGAATATTTTTGGAAGGGGCAAGAGGCTAAAGATAGAATCTCTGGCTTTGAATGAAAATCGTGAAATGGAGGTGATGGATCTGCTCAAGCTTGCTTTAGATGTCAAAACAACTGCACATGATTGAAAGCTCAGGCACAGCAATGCGGAGTTGCATTGTCCTGTAGTTTTTTGATGTTATATTCAAAGATAAGGAACCTTTGTCAAACACTTGGGTGAAGGCTAATTAAAACTGCTGATATGTCACCTGAAGGGGACTGCTATTATAATTATGTCAGATAATAAATTCTCTGTAGTTTTACTAATGGCTAGTAGTAACCACACAGCTTGTGTCTCTGGGTTTGTATAGCACACCTTTTGTATAGTTCACCTTTTTGACCGTTGCACTCTTTAAAAGGTCTTTTGGTATGCATTGGTAACTGAAACTGTATAGTTTGAGATTTGACACCTGTTTCTTTTATATGGCTTTCTTCTAGGGGGGGCGGGGACTGCTATTATAATTATGTCAGATAATAAATTCTCTGTAGTTTTACTAATGGCTAGTAGTAACCACACAGCTTGTGTCTCTGGGTTTGTATAGCACACCTTTTGTATAGTTCACCTTTTTGACCGTTGCACTCTTTAAAAGGTCTTTTGGTATGCATTGGTAACTGAAACTGTATAGTTTGAGATTTGACACCTGTTTCTTTTATATGGCTTTCTTCTAATTTTGTCGTAGGAGGTCCAAGTGGATCAGGGAAAACGAGTTTGGCTCGTAAGATGGCAAATATTGTTGGCTGTGAAGTTGTTTCCCTTGAAAGCTACTTCAAATCCGAACAAGTGAAGGATTTTAAGTACGATGACTTCAGCTCTCTTGATTTGGCTTTACTATCGAAGGTATCTGTTTTATTTCTTTGTTGACTGTTTAATCTCTGCCTCAGTTATTTGTTTCTTATTTAATGATTTTAATGAAATTGACAGTATGCTTATCTGACTAGAACTAAGTGCAAACTTAAATCAACATACACTTGCATTGGTACATATATACACACATAAGTACCTCCTTATATTTCTTTTGAAATTGACCTTTAGAGTTCATAGCTTGAGCACTTAATTCTCGTACTGGGATTGTTTGTTTAGACACTTCAGTTGTGTCCTGGAAAAAGTAGATACAAGAAAAAAAGTGTTTAATACATGGCTAGCATTTGTCCCTTCATTTTTTGACTACAGTTATGTGGATGGCACTGGTTTATATTTTATGCTATTCATGCATCAACCAATAAATGCCTGTAAGTGAGACGATACCATGCTCCATAATCTTATAGCCAGCGTAAGCTAAATCCCTGTCTAACATATTCCTTCCCTGCTTTGTGTAACCATCAAGTAGCAGATATTCAATTATCCTCCTGCACCCATACATACACACATATTCAATTACGCATGAAAGCTGATCTTCATTCATGATGGAAAATTCTTTGCTGCTGTTGAAATGAAACATGAAGCTATGGTAGGTTCTAATGAATCCCTTTCCTCGTGAACATAAAATTTGTATGTTTCAGGAAACCAGTCTAGCGGGAATTAAGTTCCTCTCCACTTGACCAAACATCATCTCTAATCAATTTCAAAAACCTTAAATAACTATTATGTTCGATATATTCACACCATCTATATAATTTGGTATAATTAGTGTAAAAAAGTTCTCAGACTATACTTTAGCCACTACCTATGTTGTGATGTTGTGGAACTTCTTGAACATCGAACTCAGGAAGAATTGGGAAAGAAAAGCGTGATATGCATTCAAGATGAATAGAAGATTACTTTTTTCAATCAGAATCCAATTTTTATGCTAAAATACTATCTTTCTGGCTATTGCAGAACATTGATGACATAAGAAATTGCCGAAGAACGAAAGTGCCTGTATTTGATCTGGAAACTGGTGTTCGCAGTGCCTTCAAAGAACTTGAAGTTTCTGAAGATTGTGGAGTGGTATGCAAAGAGACTGTTTTTCATCTCTTGGCCTCAATTTCAAAACTCTGGCCAACAAAGAAAACATTATGTAATGGTGTATACTCTGTACAGCACATCTATAGCAGTGCTAGATTTTCATCTTTGTTTTGATAAATAAAGGAAGTTCTTTCATAGAAAGAGAAATATGAGTATAGAGGACGACTTCATTCTTCTGAATGGAGATAATAAGAAATTAAAAAAATTAATGCTTTTCATTCCTTTGCTTTCAGTCATTGAGGTATCTTATTTATGGACACTCTAAAAGCTAAAGCTCATAGTGTTAATTATTCTCATTTATTTCCTTCCAGACCAGTACAAAATAGTTTTATCATTTGATATTTGAAGGAAGATGTATAAAGTCAGGTGGAGACTACAAAAATAGAAAATAGATAGACCCATTTTATCTTTTATGGTTTGACTACACATGTAACGATTAAACGAAGTTAGTTGTTTGAAATAATTTATACGCCTAATCCTAGTTTGATTGTCATTAATCTGGTCTAAAAAGCTGGTCTTGCTTGTTTTTGTAAGGTAATTTTTGAAGGTGTTTATGCTTTGCACCCTGAAATCAGAAAATCGCTGGACTTGTGGATTGCTGTTGTAAGTGTGGCGAAACATTCATACTCTATTTATATGCTTCAATTTCAAGGTCCCTCTGATTATATGTTTAAAATTACCACTTTGGAGAAGTAATTACTTGTTATGAAACAGGTTGGAGGGGTTCATTCACATCTTATATCTCGAGTTCAAAGAGACAAAAGTAGAGTTGGCTGCTTCATGTCCCAAAATGAAATTATGACAACGGTGTTTCCAATGTTTCAGCAACATATTGAACCACATCTTGTTCATGCACATGTTAGTTCCTAAGATTCATTTTGAATTTCTTATCAGCTTTACTTGTTTTTGTGGTTTAAAATGCATTTAAAGATGTTATTGCATACTTGACTTTCGCTACACTTCTATAGTTTTATTTCATGGGAAATCATTTCAAAGTTGGAGTAAGAGAAAGTTTTTTATAATTGATGTCGAGCAGTGTTAACTTTATGGGTGTTTCAAATTTCTAGGAATTAGTTCCTGGAGCAAACTTGGCTGATTGTATATAAAAAAATTGTAAAAAAAAAGCAGTACACTCACACAATCATTGAGGTACATGGATATGCCAATGATGTACAAGATTTCTGAAACTGCTACGCATTGGGCTGCATAATTCTTTGAAACATTTAATTTTGAAATTGTTTAGCACGAGTTAGAGGATTCTTTATTCGTTCTTTAATAAAATCTTTTGATTTATTGAGCGAAAAAAGGAAGAGTTATATAATTGTTAGACACTTGTGTTTGATTGTGACAAGGAGCAGTTACTCTGTTGCAGCTTAAGATCAGAAATGACTTTGACCCAGTACTTTCTCCTGAGAGCTCATTGTTTGTGTTAAAAACTAATAAGGAAGTAAGTCTTTTTGTTTCTTCCACCCACAACTTCCATAATTTGGTTGATTTTTAACAGACTTGTACTGTTCACAGGTGGATTACCAAGATATTTTGAAAATTCTTGACCCAACCAAGATATGCAGTTCCGCTCAAAATTTTATTGATATATATTTACGGATGCCTGGAATACCTTCTAATGGACAGTTAACAGAGGGTGATTGTATAAGAGTTCGAATATGTGAGGGTAGATTTGCATTGCTGATTCGAGAGGTTTGTTGTTAAATGAGAAGAAATTGTTTCTACTCAAACGGAATATTTTGATGGCTTATCTGCATATATTTTTTCCTGTCTCCTCTCTGGTTGTGCATGAAGCCTATTAGAGAAGGAAACTTTATTATCCAGCCAAAAGTGGACTTTGATATCAGCATAAGTACTGTTGCTGGCCTTCTTAACTTAGGGTATGTTGAATATTTGATATTGAGGTTGATATTGCTTCGTAGTATCACTGGTCATCATCATTTGTGTTTCCGTTTGCTATAAAAGTTTGTGGACTTAGATACATAATCATGTGGCTTATACTATTGTTATCTTCTAGTGTTTTCCTTCACGCTCTTCTACTGTGTCAAATCACCGGAGACATTCTCCCTTGGGGTGTTGCCCTCTTTTCTTGGTGTCAAAATGCAATGTGTGTGATATTTTACACACATGTTAAATATTCTAAGTAGTTTCTGTTCTGAGATGCCTGTAGGTATCATAAGAAAATATCTTATTTATACGTACTGAGATTTGTTGAAGCACTGAAGATTCTGTGGTCTGAAAATGTTTATGTATAGTAAGGTTCCTCAGTTGATTCTTGGCAAGTCAATTTTGAATAAGATGAATAGGTGTAAACAAGTGTAGTTCACTGTGGATCTTTTTCACATTGTTGCATAAGATAACTTGAGCTGCCTTTTCGAATCTACTGTATTTCCTTTTTGCACATAGTAATCAACGACTGATCATCAACTTGTTTAATAATTGAGATATAGACAGAAACTCTCTTTCTTATGCATTATTTTATCATTTGCCATAACCATTCCTATTCTTTAAAACCAAAAAAATTCTTGCTGTTACTAACACAAACAAGATTTGATCCTGATTATTTCTTGTTTTGACTCATCATGTTTTTGAAGCATATTGGTTTGATTATGAGCTGGCCTTTGATCCAAATTTTGTCACTTGATAGTTTGTGTGTTTGATTACTTCCATTTGTTGACACTTTATGTATTATCTCTCGTGGTTTCAGGTATCAAGCTATGGCGTATATTGAAGCATCTGCCTATATTTACCAAGATGGAAAGGTTATCTCTCTCTTGTTATCATATTCAGTGTCCAGATATGATTATTGCAATTGAACTCAATTATAAATGTAGTGAGCTTGAAGACTCTTTATTTGTAGATACTCTGACATAGGCTAAGAAAATTCTTTTTCTCATATCACGTCTTCTGTTTTGAATCATCTTTTGGCGACCAAGAATGTCTTAAGGTGATAATTTCTGAGTGTCTCTCTGATGTCTTTGAAAGGGAGGTTGAAGAACAAGCTACTAGAAATGAAGAAATCTGTGTAGTTGGATAAACAGTGGTATCAGGTTGGTCGGTAGTGATTGCATAAGTGTCAATTTCAAATTTAGTTACAATGATCAGGAATTTAATGATATTGCTAGCAAACACTAACATGTGTTTAGACTACTGAGTTGAAAGTTCCAGCACGAGGGGATGAGGATAAAATAGCTGTCATTCAGCATCTATTGGTGGCATATGTTTGACCTACTGCACTTTTAGATGGATATAACAAAAACAAATTACCTAGGTATTCTCATCTAGTGAGAATGCAACTATTGATAAGAGGCCTATACTATGATACGATTAGTCAGAGCTTGCCAAAAAACCAAAACACTAATGTTGATCTGATTAAAAGCCCATAATATGCTTATTGGTATTTATACATTTCATTTGCAAACTATTGTGAGCACTAATTTTTATGTCCTCTTCGTTTGCTACTTCGATTCAGTTTTTGCTTGACTTGTCCTGCCCTGACTGTTGAGTGAAATACTTTTGAATGACGTAATATTACCTCTTTCTTTTAGATTCTTATCGAGGTTGATCATATACAAGATGTCCCGAGCCCTTACCTTCAAATTAAGGGAATTAATAAAGAGATTGTAGTTGCGGCTGGCTCAGCTCTTAATTTGGATGCTTCATATACCACAAAGGTTTTCTCTCTTTGCTTTTACACGTCCTAGCAGTAGTGTTATCCCGCACTGCCACCTGTCGTTTTGCATTATGTTGGTTATGACTCAATGCAGCCTTGTAATTCACTCTTCTGATATCTGCTCAGAGTTATCTACAAATAATCCTGGAAAGATTGCCTGCACTGGAAAGGAGTTCAAGTGGGATTCATTCTCAGCAAGCTGCAAGATTGCAGGAACTTGTGGAATACATACAGTCACAGGTAATATTTTATTCTTGCAAGGTAAATGTATTTTGCTTTATGAATTTGATTTACTAATAAATATAGAAATGGTGGTGATATAGAGCCGCAAAACACAGAGTGAAACAGAGAAGAAAGACAAGAGGAGAGACAAATAGGGAAAGACACAACTGGAGAAATTGGGCACGAAATTTTAATATTATTGGCTATCGGAAATCAAGGTCTAAATTAGTCAACAAGACTACTATTTATGCGTAAATTTTTTTAACGAGAATGAAAACTTATCAGAGTGACAACTGGAAATTTCCGAACTTGAACAAGTCCAATAGTTGCACAAAAATGAATTCTTCATTAGTTTATCAAATGGCTATAAGAAAACTTAGCCATAGGCGCAGGTAACAGGTTTCTAACCAACTGAATACCTAAGCAAGTCTCTAATTTTCCATTTCTTCATAGATGAGAGAACTCAATTCTAGTTGTTTATATTACAGTCGATCAGGGTGGTAGAACTCCCGTTTTATTATCCAAGTGGACGATCCTTCCTTCACACTCAACTTAGACCTTACCGCTAGTGGCGTAGCAACGTATTAGCTCTGGAGACATCCATAATTATATTGTTTGGCTCTATAGAGAGAGGAGGTTGAGGGACTAGAACAAGAATCCTATAGAAACAAATAAATCCTATATAATGGGGGTTGTTGTGTTTTGCTCATTCTATGTTGTGCAAAGCATTCTTCAAAAATATCAAACCACCAAAAAAGGCCTCCGAATTATGTCTACAACCAAATATTGGGATTTTAATTCAACTTTCCTAGACCTCCTCAAAACTATTCTTTGTTAGGAATATATGGTTATATTTGCACCACAATTTTTGTTTGTTACATCACTTTTTAATTGTAGTGAAGGTCCATAACATTTGCTTATTGTCGTTGTCTATAATTTTTTTTTTTTTTTTTAATCGCATTCTTAACATCAATTTTCAATAATTAGCATATCTTATCCCAATAACAATTTCCGTCCAAAAAATCCATTATGAATGAGGGTGTAAAAGACTTATTTGCTCCTTATATTTTTATAAGAAAAATAAATGATTATAGAAGTTCGACCGAATATTTGTCTTTCATTTCAAAGCATGTTAAGTGAATATTTGGATAAACCCTCATCAAGGATAAGATATACTAATTAATGGAAGGTTGAGAAAGAGAATGCAAGAAAAAATGGTTGGGAACATAAATGTTGAGCAAAGTTGGGATCTTTAGTGCAATTAAAATGTAGGGTAGTAAACAAAAGTTGTG